CGCATTCTGACAGGTTGCCAAGGATGTGTCTGTAAGACTCCACCATGAGCTGGAGAATGTGGAGGAGAAACGAACAAAGACAGAAGAAGAAAACGAGCGATTAAGACAGAAACTTATTGAGGTGGAAGTCACAAAACAGGCTCTGCAAAATGAGCTGGACAAAGCCAAAGAGGTATAAATGCAAACACAAATCACTACAGAATCTAAATAGTTCTAAATACTATACATATTCATGGCATAGCCTTCATATAAATTTGTTATGTCCAGTCTCAGAAACGAAGAGGAAGCAAAGATGCACAAAAACCTGAGCGGAAGACTCAGACTCCTACAGAGGTAAGCATAAAACATTGACAGCAACTGGTATGCGGTCAAATGAAGGCTGTTAGGGTACGTGATAAGTTTAAGTTACAACCAGTAATGTAATTTTTTTTGGCAAAAATATGAAGTGCACTACATTGCAAACTATACAAAGAATGAAAGTTGGCATGCAAACAAAACAAAACAAAAAAGTATTACACCATAAAATGTAAATCTGTTGTCACATTTACTGTTGATCTGCAAAATTTCACAGGCAAAATCTTGTCATTTCAAAAGAAATCCATACAGTTGCCTTGTCTACCAACAGAAAGGTGTTTGGTTTTAATGTGACTTATATTTGAGCTGTCCTTCATACTTTGCAAAACCATTTAGGATGGGTCTATTTCTCCACAAAAACCTGCCAAAATTCCTGCTAATGTGCCAGAACCTTAATGCAACACTTTTGTCCACAGGAGGACAATGAGGACCTGAAATGCCAGCTGGCCTTTATTAAAGAGGAGGCTACCTTAATGAGAAAGAAAATGGCCAAGATTGACAAGGAAAAGGACCGTTTGGATCAAGAGCTACAGAAGTATCGTTCCTTCTATGGGGATCTGGACAGCCCTCATCCAAAGGGTGAAGCTGGTGGCCCTCCCACTACAAGGGAATCCGAGCTCAAACTTCGCTTGCGATTGGTAGAGGAAGAGGCCAACATCCTGGGACGTAAAATAGTCGAATTGGAGGTGGAGAACCGTGGCTTGAGGGCGGAGTTGGATGATCTTCGAGGGGAAGAGTCATCTAATGGGGGCTTGTCCGGAGCGGAAGGAGGAATGGGGCGGGAGCAGGGGTTGGAGCTGTCAGAGCTTAGGCAACAACTCCAGTTGGTGGAGGATGAGGCAGAACTTCTAAGGAGGAACCTGGCTGATGTAGAGGAACAGAATAAGAAAGTGACATGTGAGCTGAACAAACTGCGCTTTAAAGAGGGTACAAGGCACACCTCAGGTGGTAATGCAATGGCTGCTGCCAATGGAGCGGGAGACAGCTCCAAAGCCGAGGCTTTGCAGGAGGAGCTGAAGGCAGCGAGGAAACAGATCAATGAACTGAGTGGGAAAGTGATGCAGCTGCAGTATGAGAACCGTGTGCTGCTTTCCAACATGCAACGGTATGATCTAGCATCTCACCTAGCCATCACGCCACGGGACAGTGATGCAGAGAGCGACAGCGGTCCTGGAATCGGAGGGCGTAGAGGTAGTGATGATGACTCAACTTCCTCTCGCCTCCCTCCCCATCGCAAACGTGAAGGTCCTGTCGGAGGTGAAAGCGACTCAGAGGAAGTTCGCAATGCTCGGTGCCTCACGCCAACTCGTTCTCTTTATTCTCCTGAATCCGCCCGGCTCCTCTCACGCTCTATACGGGACAGGCAACAGATGATTGACATCCGTGCTGAAGCGGAGCGATTGGGGCGAACCATTGATCGGCTCATAGCCGACACCAGTACCATCATTGCAGAGGCGCGGGTGTTTGTAGCTAATGGGGATCTTTTCGGCCGTATGGAAGATGATGACGATGGTGGGAGGATCAGGGAGCATGAGCTACTCTACCGCATTAACGCTCAAATGAAAGCCTTCAGGAAGGAGCTGCAGGGGTTTATAGACCGACTTGAAGTCCCAAAACCTGACGAAAGAGATTCAGAAGAGCCATTATCTGTGAGTCTGGCAAGAGTCTGTGTGTCTATGTGAAGCACAACAAGAATGTTTGACACACCGTAAAGGAATAGTTGACCCAAAAATCTAATTTCTGTTATTTACTCACCCTTGATTCTCTTTCTTCCGTGGGACAGTGACCAGTGGCTTTAAAGTACCCAAAAGGGCAAGAAAGCACCATATAATTAGTATGTACAATGGACTCTTATTTTAAGTCTTCTAAAGCCATACTTTTGAGTGAGAAACAGATAAAAAAAATTAGGGTCTTAATTAACTGAAAGTATAATTTGCATCAAAGTGCATCATGTCGAGTTTGACATCAATGACAACTGGTCAGAAGTTACTGATGTAAAACCTTACATGAATGAATGCAAACACAAATGAGATGTGAAGTACAGCAGAGCAGTGTTGACATTAACAAAAACAAAAACTATTACAAATTGTTTGCGTTAATTGAAATAAAATGAAAATGAGAAAGGTTGCTCATTTTAACTTGGTTGCAAATTTTTTTAATAAAATGAAATAGCACAAAATGAAAATGAAAACTAAAAACATAAAAATAAAAGCTAATTAAATTTTAATAAACACTATAATAGTGTAGAAATAATCATATAATAGTGCAGCAGAATGGGTACATTTCATTGAATATATTTTGGTCTGTTTATCAAGCAAAGGTATTTTGCGGTTACAGAAACCGAATAGTGCAAAGTCATACTTTCATTTAATTTCCACGTAAAGAAAGAGAATCACAGGGAAATACAACAATTTTCATTTTGAGGTGAACTATTCCTTTAAAGGGAGTGAGTTTAATAGTGAAGAACAAGAAAGCACTACATAATTCAGAGAGTTCATCTCCTGACTGCTTTTAACATTTAACAAGATACAGCATATTTTTTATTTGCCAAGATTTTTAAACTATGCAAACAGAAAATGCTAATGGCTATAATATCTTAACCTTTCTCTCTTTCTCTCTGATCCTGTCTTCCCATGCACCCCTGTCTTTTAATGCATGTTCGTTAATCCTGTCGGTTATTCACCCAGATGTTTCAGCCCATCATTTTATTTATCCTCATTCTAGTGTTGTTCTCCTCGCTTTCTTATGCCACCATTTTTAAACTTGTATTTCTTTTTACCCTCTTTTTTGTCCTGTGATCACCATTCGCCCATTCATTAGCATAGTCACGCCCTTTGTTTTGTTTGTTTGTCAATGTTGTGTATGTTCACCATGGTTGAAGAATCACAGGACGGTCACTTTCCAAGCACAGACAGCACGCTTAAGCACAGAAGTCTGCAAAACCTTAATTTCCAAAACGCTGGAGAATGTTTTATCCAAATCGTACATATATGGCTGCCATTGGAAGGTACACCATCAAGACAAGAGGTTTTTTTGCAACTAAAGACTATCATACATCATAGGAAAACACTGAGCCACTGGAAACTACATTATCCAGAAGACATTTCTTTCATTGAGGACTATGGTTATCAGGCACACTGAAGCTTGCTTTGCCACCAAAGGCTTGCAATGAAATATGGAACTGCAGTTTACTACTAAGGGGCATGTTACCACATTACACATAATGCCTGCCCCTGCACTCTAAGATACTGTACTTCAGCTGGAATGATTTCCTATCAGAAGCATGCAATGGTGAGTAAGAATATGGTATATAACTGTATACTCAGAGAGGTCAGAAAAAATATGCATACATGTGTATGGATGGTGAATAACTAACAGGCTTTATATATTTGACTGGAGATGTCAGGAATCATCCATAATTGTTTTGCATTGATTGATTGATTGCACAATCATCTGAAGAAATTGCACAAAAGATTAATGTGATATGCTAAAGAACAGCTGTGGCTTCGATGGGGTGGGTGAATGGGGGTCCAAGTTCACATAAAGTGCCTGTGTACATGATGACAGCATGCACAAATTACCTTCTGCTGCACATTTTGTTGCACCAGAGCAGGATCTGTCTACTGCTGAACGTGCTTCTCATTCCTGCAAGCATGTCATGGATCAGCAATTTGGAAATCAGAGCTTGCTTTCTTTAAGAGTTTATTTAGCTTGTTGGCATCTCCAGTTTAGTCTCAGTTGAAGCACCTGAGTCTTCAAGTTGTCGGCAGTAATTCCTGAGTAAAATAATTAAAGCTGTAAATAGATTAAAATAATTACAAAAACAAGATCTGTGGAAGTGTTGGGTTCACAATTTATTTGGAGCACAAATACATTTGTTTTGGTTTAGATGAGTCTAGGTGATTGACAAGAAAATTACACTTGGAAAACAACACCACATCTGTTTTTCTAGAGTGAGTCTCTTTTTGGGAATTGAAAGTCATTTCTTCTCAATTTCCTGCCAGCTGAAAGTAAACTCATTAGCGAAAACCATCAAAGATACAACTCTGTATTCAAATTTGCCAGTTTTACTGTGTCTCCATTCTCAGAGGCTTTTGCTTTGATGTTTTCCTTGTTCTCATTATTGTGCCTGGAAACTATTTGAGTCAGAGGCCAATATTTGGGCTGAACTGTCGGTCGGCTGTTTATTGTGCAACAGCCACGTGTCAAATAAATACAAGCGTGAGGCGCCCATTAAGAACCGTGGACAGCACACTTAGTATCCGCTAATTCTGTCCAATGGTATCTAAAAAATAAAATGGACAGAGTGTTTTGAGAGTCCCAAATAGCCCAGTTGCCTGTGGGCATTAGTAGAAGTCGAAACAACTGGAATAGGAGTCACAAGATCACAATCTGCCAAGTCCTAAAAGCAGACTAGCAACAAGACAGTTTCACAGAGGTGGGGTAGAACTGGGCATTTTAAAATAGCCATGTAAACACTCTCCCTCTGCCTTTGTAATTTTAACCTAGAATGTCGGTGACGACAGTCTCTTGCATGGAGACCACAAATGTCGGAATAAATCTGACATTATGATACCAGACACCTGGCAGGTCTGACGTCACAGGGGTAAATACTTAGAGTCACTATAAAGCCCCGGGGCCCCTCAGGACTACAGTTATTTACCCCTGAGCTTCAGACAGGACCGTAGTACCGGACAGAAGAAACATTTAAGATCCAATACACAGGATTTTTATTTCACGCCGTTGGAAGCGAGCCTTCATGGTCTTTGCACAGTTACGTCCCGTTTGAGTACAGGAGCTGTCAAAGGGGAGGCGGTACTGAAACAAGCGTGATCTTGATTTAAGCAACAAACCTGTACTTGAACAGGTTACTCAAACACTACTCATATTCTGGAGCGTCTGTTTCAACTCATCAAAAACACATGAGAGGGAGTTACTGGAGGAGCCAATAATAAGATTTAACCGGTAAGGATTAAGAAAGCTTGTAGACAAGTACAGAACATAAACCTCCATTTTTAAACCTTTTTAAAGTATTAAATTGTTACTAACAACTCTTTTCTGCGATCTTTCACTTGGGCTGAAAATGTTGGATATATAATTTTAAGAACCTTTTTAGCCTCACTGGTCACATTATACACTGAAAGTAAAGTAATATAAAAGTAAATTACTGTATCTACATATATAAGGACATATACTTGCTTAAGGAATACTAACAAACAATATGTACTTAATATGTAAATAATTTACGGAACTGTTGGTAAATTCACTTGAATTTACTACTATTGTGATCGTCTACTTTTACCTATAGAGAGTAAGTGTGTATCAATCATTAAAAGGTGCTCTTACTATATCTTTTTAGTTTTATAACACATAATTACAGAGGGTATAAATATCCTTCCATTCTAACGTCATACGGTGGTACATTCTGGAAATTTCGTGAGTTAAACTGGGTGTCATGTTCCTTGACGGAAGAAAATTCCATCCTTAATACCCACCGTAAATCAAAGCTTCATTACAGAAAAACGTAGTGACGTTACCACGGAAAGGATGCAACTATTCTGAGCTCATCCAAGCAAGTAAAAGGTTCTACACTTGCTTGGAACTTTGACCTCATCCTTAACCTGAAAGAAGCAGTGTAACCTTGTAGTCAAAGATCTAGACTGATTGTAGGTGTAGGTTATGCAAGGGGCGACCAGTTACTTTTTACTATTGTGCCTTTGATCAAGAGAGATCAGTTTACTCCAGGGAGACTGTCCATGTTATAAAACTGACTTCAGAATCCCTGAAGTCCCTTTAGGTAACTTGAGCATGTCTAATGAAGTTGGTGTCTAAAGAACATGCTGACAATTTTGACAGTTAAGTGCTGGTTTGAAGGACAGGGAATGCATATAGAAAGGATTCAAAGCCTTAAAGCAGGTGTCCAGAGCAAATAGCTGGGATTTTGTTACCTTCTTTGCGTCTCCTTGAATGGAGTACAATCAAGAAGACTTCACTTATGTTCACATTTGTAACACCCTCAAACTTTAAAGCAAGCCATTGTAGACAGTAGAATTTTTTACAGTGACTTAATTTACTTGAGATACCAACTACTACCAGATACTCTGATTACTTAAGAGTACCGTAAAGAATGAATAGGCTATTTCTCAATGATGAATATCTCTTTTGTCTTCATAGAGGTATTGGTGGACTTGCCAATGTGGTCACTCCAGTGACCTTTCAGAAATTGCAGCATAGGTTTCTGAGCACAGACACACATACACAGAAGAATGGCTGCATTGGAATTGCACTGTGGGCCGGAGCCTGGGAGTTGTGTGTGGGGTGGAGACAGAGCTGACCTGCTTGACAGTTTTGACTCCGAGATGCAGGAATGGGAAGATCAGCTACAAGACATGCAGAGGAAGATTGAAGAGGTGAGACAAATTTTCAACTGAAATGACGCCAGTCAGTATGACCGAATCCATATCCATCCAACAATCTCCATATCTAGAGAGAGAGAGATTCTTATTCAAAAATGTAAATGAACTTCAAAAATATAGTGCTCTGGTTTGACTATAAACCATTCCAAAAGATCCACTGGCACTGTTATCCTGCCTGTACTAGAGCCACGGAGTTGTTGATGTTGTGATAGTGGGCACTAACAAGAATTGTGATTGGCTGAAAGGATCTTGACCCCCTGTTGGCTCCATCTCTTGGATATAATAATAGGTGCTTCGCCCCACAACACCATGACTGTGACAGATGTTAACAAGCTTATTAAATCCAAAGGGATAGGGGTTACAGGCTACTTATGAACATTCACAGTCTCTCTCATATCAAAACACAGGAAGTTAATGCATTCATGCTGAAACAGGCCAACCAAACATGTTGTTATTGATAGATTAATTAACCTTTGAGCATGCAAGCCCTCCCTCTCATTCTAAAGAAGAAACCCCATGCTGTTTACTTCTGCACAGGTTGCATAACTAGTCTATGCAGTACATCATGCAGTGGCGGCTCGTCGGGGGAGGCAGAGCTTCCCCATAATTTTGAGGTGAAAATAGGAGGACGACGATTTAATGTTAATAAAATTCACAATTCATTTCAGTTCATGTCTCAGAATGTGTATTTTATGTTTGTAATTTCACAGTTGTAATACCATAACGTGAAAGTGCCATTCTATCGAGAATGTAATTATAACCGCTAATGATAGAGAAGGGGAGGGGGAGGCCGGGGGAGAGATGAGCTCTCGTGCCTCCGTTGGTAAAAAAAATTAGCCAATCACCATTGAGTGTTCACTTTCAGCGCTGAGGAGTGTTGAGAAAAGAACCCTCGCAAGGGAGGCTAGCCTCCCTTCTGATATCAGCCAATCATCAAAGAGACGTAAATTACGTGATACTAGTTTGAACGTCCGCCGCTGCGCTGATAATGTACCAAGTACTTATGATGAGTAGCGATATTGAATATTTGATTGCCAACATATTTACCAAGCTGTCATTCAAACAGTATATATACAAATTTAGGGAAAACGGCCTAAGCTGGATATACGCTACAGCAGTCGGCTTAATTAAATGGCACAACAGGTAGCTCTCTTTTAACACAGACTTTTAAAGGGGTCATATGATGCTTTTTTAAAGATCATTATTTTGTGTATTTGGTGTAACAGAATATGTTGACATGCTTTAATGTTCAAAAAACTCATTATTTTTCAAATACTGTACATTATGGTAGGTCCTCTATGCCCCGCCTCTCTCAAACGCTTCGTTTTCTACAAAGTCCCTCCTTCCGACAAGCGCAGTCTGCTCTGATTGGCCAGCTGACCCAGTGCATTGTGATTGACCGAACACCGCAAGCACTCGTCGGAAATGTAACGCCCCTTACCATAATCACAAGCTTCTTCTTTCAAAATAAATGTAAAGACAGAGCCCGAAAGGGGAACAGAGTCTCGTGACAGACACAGTGATGAAGCTGGTATGTGTTTGCAGTACACAAGCCACGGTTAAGACAGCTGACTCCACTGTGATATGACCCTGTCTCTCTCTCGCTCACACGTGTGCACGCACATGCACACACACACACACATGATGCGCAAAACTCCACATTTGAACAGTCAATAGCAAATACTTAAACTAATAACAAAACAGTAGCTGATTCAAAAGCGCCAGATTGTCATAGCAAAGTCAGAATTACCTCCTCTCCTAGGTTCATGAAACGGTCGTCCATAAAATGCATTGCTATTCTGTTGTAAGTAATCTTAAAGATTCCTAAATGCATCTACTTTCGGAAGGCCAAATAAAGTGCTTTTGCTTTAACCTAGAAACACACAGCGTCTCCCTGACATGGCTGCTTCAACACTAACTGCGGTTACTGAAACCACGCCTTCTTTCTTTGCGTGCACATTTGGGCGGCATTATGCAAATATTTCCACATAGTGAGGTAGATATGTGGGGGCGTGTTAGAACGAGCCGTTTTAGGGGGGCGTGGCAGAGTCTTAACTTTGATAAAGAATATCTCTTTGGTTTTGAAACTTTAGTCTTTGCAACTTCAGGGATCTTATCTATGCACAATCAGCTTGTAACACTTGCAGGAAAACTTGAAATTGCATCATATGACCCCTTTAAGAAGGGATGGATGTTTGCTTCAAGTGATAGGTCAGGTAAGTGAAATTATATTATCTTGATGTATGTATGTATGTCATTTTCTTTACGTTTTCTGACTAAAAGCAACCAAAAAGCCATTTTAAAGTGGTTAAGCAAATAATAATAATAATAATAATAATAATCGGCAGGGATCCCAGACCAATACAGTTAGTGTGCCTCCTCTATTTTAAAACCCACGAGCCGCCACTGACATCATGCCAGTTGTTTTCGCTGACTTGTGGATTTAAAACATTTGCTTTCATGTAGGTGGGCAAAAATATATATATTTTTTTTTTATGAATGCTGAGTTTGTTTCTAACATTGTGATTGTGTTTCAGCTGTATAATGAGGTCAAAGCAAGAAGAGAAGCCAGCGAGAGCAGCTCAAACAACAACACAAACAATAACAATTTGGACATTACTTTGCTTCCTGTCAACTCTCAGTATAGCCACCAGGCCAATGGTTATCATGAATCCCGTGGTCACCCCAACAACAGCCTCCCAATTCGTCAATGCAGTGAAATAAGAGCAGATCCTTCAGTTATGCAAAGCTTTGGCTTTCACCACCCCAGTGAATACAGTAATGACTCAAACAATTGCATGCTTAATACCCTGAGCAATGGCAGCCATTACCCTGCCAGTTGTCACGATCTTGAAAGGCAAGATGCCACCCTAGACATACTCAATGGATACCTTCAACAGGGCCCACATTTTAGAAGGAACGCAGGGAATTTCGGAGGTCCAAACACAGTGAGTGCCTCTTTCACTACTGATAAATCTCTCCTTAAACTGGACTCTTACACCTCAAGAATTTCTTTACACTTTATCCCTTCATTGCCCCTCTTTTTTTTTGATCCAGAACTCCAAGGTATATCCAGTTACGCACAGCTATCAAGACAGCACGAAGACCAGCCCGGTAACAAACAGGTAAAACATTTTCAATCTCAACCTATCAGACTCATTCCTATTGTTGTCCAATTATCATGCATGTTTCTTGTTGGTTATATAGACCAACGCTTAGTGTTTGCCCAATTTCCTCTTGTGACTACTTGGTTGATTTGTTTTTTTCACATTAGGACTGCCTTGTGTGTGGTTCTGGAGGAGATTGAGGCTGAGAACAAAAAGAACAAGAAATCAAATTGGGATGACTCCCAAGACCGCCACGTTAGCTGGAAAGACCCGGTTTCATCAAACGACCTTCCCCCTAAAAATTCAGCTTCCAAACTGGCAATCAGACAGAGAGATGCTTCTCCTGTAACCCCTCGCTCCATCTACCATGAGTCATCACAACAACCTGACAGGAAATGCCTCTTGCTCGACAGGAAATCTGGCAGCCCATCAGTATTGCGTAAGTTTGGTGCCATGTTGCAGGAGAACGAGGGGAAAACCCTGATAGAGGATGGTCTTGTGACCACCGTTGTCTCCACTGAACCTCAGAGGCACACCAGCACTCCCATTTGCCAGAGCAAGTTTGATGCCAGACGGGCATCCTCACGTGTGCCCTTCCAGAAATGCCTTGCAGACTGTGACGCACTGGTAGCAGATCTGGAGCCCAGCCAGGAGTCTTGGGCAGCTGGTCCTTCTAGACACCTCCTCAATGGAGACAAAGACAGTGGGAAGGGTGGTTGTGTTCTTGAACAGCATGGCTTGGCCTATAACTTAAGCCCGACACAGTCTCACCTTAACTCAGGGGATCACAAGGTGGCTTCACTGTCTAAATCCCACAAAGCAGGCTTCCAGAGTGAGGACCTATTTTCTGACTACCAGATGGTGGAAAGGATTCTGGGAGCAGGATCTCAAAACTTCAGTAAGGTACACAGAGGACTTGGTGTCGACATGATGAGACTGGGAAATGACAACTTGGAGCAACTTCTAGAAATGATGGAAATGGAGAACAACAGAAGCCAGAGGGCCACATTCACCCAGCAACTGGACAACAAGCAGGTGAAGAGGGTACAAATTTGATTAGCACACACACTAAATTTCAGTGCAGTATTTATTTTTGTCTGAATCATTGTGCCCATGCTCTTGGCAAGTGTTCCTCATTCCTGATTCTGGAAAGCCACTTTCATGAAGAGTTTATTTCCAAGTGTGCTCTAACACATCTGGTTTTTAGGTAAACCCAAAGGCCTTGATTAGTTAATTCAAGCACATTTGATTAAAATTTGATCTAAATTTTGCAGGAAAGTTCTCCAGGACCAAGAATTAGGAACCTTGCTTTTGATGTGATGCTCTCGACCTCATTCTTCCATCTCTCCCTTATGCTACTTTGCTTTCTGTTTCTGCTAACCTGTCAAATAAAGACATAATATGTTGGTACATAAAATGCAAGTAGATTAATCCAAGCATTGATCATTTATCCAGAAAGATACTTACATTAAAACTTCTTCCTCTGTAGGTCAACCGTGAGTCATCTCCTGCACCCAGCAGTAGCCATTTTTCTCGTCCTGCTCGACCAGCCAATCAACGTCGTCCATCCAGATGGGCTAAGCATATTCACCCAAGCAAAATCACCCACTCATCCTGCCCACCAAGCCCTGGCATGAAAGCCAAACAATTCTTGAATTCATATTCCCGGCACACAGAAACTGTCATCATGTGACCAGGATACAAGAACCTTCAAAGGACATTTTCACCCAAGGGCAAAGACGAAACTTTGACCTTTTGTAGAACACAATCTACTTTTTTGTATATATAACCACCACCACTATATCAAAGTACCTTATTGCTGCCCACAAGGATGGCCTATGGTGTTTTCCTTAAATAACTTCAAAAGGATACCGCTTTCATTTAACTTTGAAGTGCTTTGGAAAGAAACTTCAGTGGACATTTTTTGACCTGGTGAACTTCTGTGCCTATATGAACCCTTCATTGCCTTTTCTCTTTATTTCTTTTTGTCATTCTCATTAAATTTTGTATTCTTTTATTATGTTTTCTATTTTCCCCGAGTGCTTTGTGTACAGTGCAGTTCTTGTGGTGCCATGTAGGGCATTTTTGTAACCATATAAGCATGTATGCAACAGGCATAACATGTATTTAAACATACATGGCAACGAGTTATTGAGCCTTATCTATTATGCATAATCTGTAAAGGTGTGTGCAAACATTTTGATGTTCTGTCATAAAGTCCATTTCAGTACTGCATTAGTGCTTCATAATATTGACATGATGAGGTCATAACAGGCTCATAATATTTTTTATAAGCCTTATTTGACTGCGCCTGATGTGGGCTGTAACTACTCGGTGCATGGCACCTTTTTGTGGGAACATGTCTGCATTCGCCACCCTTGTAAAAAAAAAAAGCCAATTATTCTTAAGTTCAACATCTGTGAAAGTAAAGTATATCTTTTGACCATATTATAGTGAAGAAATTCTTTTGGAATGTTTATTAATTTTTGTGACATTACCCTGACATGACAAAAACGTGATGCTTTTTGTTTTTTTCCTCTGGATAATAAACGCAAGTGCTTTGACAAATTAGTTTATTGTTTTAAGTGGTGAATGCTAATGTTAGCACTAATATTTCTGCTCACTGTTACTTTTCTTTGCAATCTGACAAGCTAATTTTCACCTGGTGGACAACAAAACAGACAACAAACATAGACTTATGGAGCAACCGGAGTCATTAAGGGCCAAGACAGTCATAAACAACGCCCCTTTAACCGTTAGTTTGCTATGAGTAAAAGATGAGATGAGGAGCACGAAAATAAAACACCGCCCTCTATTCAATATTCCGTTTCAGTTGGAAATAAGTCACCATATTAAAAGTCGGCAGCATCTTCTGGTTCATGCAGATTTTAAGGGTGGGTTCTTTTGATTTTGGCCAGTAAGCAACCAAATATCAATGTGTTGATAACTTTATTAACCACATAGCAACAACCTATAATATCCTATCAGCAACTTCTCCAAGGTCATGCACCACTCAAATGTTCTTCAGAAATATAAAAAGTATAGTTTAGTATAGTAGTTTCCTGAAAATGTGACAACAGTGGGGTAAAACATTTTACAATCTCTTACATCTTTTTTCACTAAAAAACAAAACAAAAGCAAAAGTATAAGATGCTTCATGCCAACATAGTAAAAAGGCCTCTCTTTAATTAGCTCCTCGTTAAGCAGTATTAACATTGCTCTTGCCCTACGTTACTAAAAGCTATCAAGAAGCATCCTATTCCTCATTCAGAGTCCTAATGTAACCGGCTCTTACCATGCCTTACTATCTCTCTCTGTCCTGCTCTCAGTTACTCGACCCGCTGCTGAAATGTTGCACCTGTGTCTGAAATAGGAAGCGTGACGTTGTTTTGGTGCCAGAAATCTTAGACGTGTTAGTGGAGGGCTGAGGGGGGAGGCGTGTGATGTTCAGGGGACATCTCTCTCTGTCTCACTCTGAATCTGTAAATGAGTAATAAAGTCTTTCCTGCACTATAACACCACGCTGGAAGCACGGAACAGCATCTTAATGAGGTCTTTAGATATAGATAGATGTTCACAACTTTCATGTGAGGTCTTCATAGCACGCCACATGGATTTATTATTATTGGAGTAACCTGGGGTTAAATGCCTATAGTGAGTGCTCATTGATCACTTGTGGGATTCGAACCAGCATCCTTCTGGTTACCAGCCCTGAGCCTTAACCCCTTAACCACCACTCTTGGGTCCTTGAAAACATGAGGTTTGTATGAGTGGTGCTTACCCAAACAAAACCCCTGGCTATGATGATACGGTGTTTGCAAGGTGGATGGAAAGTTATTACTTCATTTGCTAAGGCTAGTTACGTGCAGAACAAAGAGCCAAGGCCTTACGATATTCCAGGGCAAGCTGTGTACTGAAGTAATAGCAATAGCGATGCTTTAGCATTGATGACTTGAATGATAAATGCCTAAAGGGTTAAATGGACAGCTAGGCATTCTCCATGACGTCATAAAGACATCTCTCTGGAATTGCTGAATTACTGAAGTCTAATCCTGGACAGCAAAACACCAACAACTTGGCGATATAAAGCTCTCTAAGTGAACACTGATCTCAGATCATCTCAGCCAGTGTCACCTGCTGTTGTAGAAGTGTATGGGGAACCGCTTGAACGTGTAAGAGTTGCCAAGTAACACACCTGTGATGTCAGAGAGGAAAGACAACCAGTAAGGAGCCCTTCAGATGTCTTGCCATGTGTCTCCTGCTGCAGCATATTACATAAGAGAAAGAGAGGTATTATACTGTCATAAGTTACTAATGATTAGATACAAGAGAGGCCCAAAACATAATCTGCCCAAGTTAGCAAACTCAAATGCTTCTAGCTATGCAAGTTTGATTTCACGTTGTTGCATCCTGAAACACAATTTATAGTACATACTGCCTTCTCACTGTTGTCATAAGGGGCATAAGCATCAATTCCCCAAACAGCTTGATCTTCCATCATGATGGAGCAAGCATGTTAAGAGAATTTTATGAAAATGTACAACTCCTCACCACTAGATTTGAAACAATCAGTGACTGATATTTTAAGGTGGCTCTATTGCCCCATAAAATTGCCCCCCATTGAATGCATTTAAGTTTGTATAATGGGAACATGCACATGACGTGCAGTATACATACTTGCATGGAGGTATATCTGTGGTCTTAAAGTAATTCAAACAAGTCAAATCAACCTAAATGCTGTTTTAAGAGTCCAAAACTGTACATGCTACAAAGTCATCCTGGTAAGCAAAACGATTCACCCACATGTTATAGAGCTCCAATATATCTGTATATTTACTGCATTTTGAAAAAAAGCAACGTGAACCTCTTGGGATCTGTGTTTGAATAATAACTGAGTTGGTAAATATCACCCATATACTTACAGTAGTCATTCAGTCCATGTATAATGATCTATGTAAGTCTGCGAACATTAAGACAGTAATGCACTCTACATAAATATGCAGATAAATGCAGAAGTGAATGGAAAGATGTTTCCAGGCTATGCTATGAATATGCTGAGCTTACTCGGCAAACTGTTCAACATGAAAAAAATTTAACTGAAAAGGAAAACTGATAATAGAAGGTGGGTTATGCTACTACATGTTACAGCACTCCTAGGGAAAGTGAAGTGACGTGTGGCCAAGTATGGTGTCCCATACTCGGAATTTGTGCTCTGCATTTAACCCATCCAAGTGCACACACACACACACCATGAACACACACCCAGAGCAGTGGGCAGCCAACGCTGTGGCACCCGGGGAGCAGTTGGGGGTTCGGTGCCTTGCTCAAGGGTCTCATCTCAGTAGTGGTATTGAAGGTGGAGAGAGCACTGGTTATTCACTCCCCCACCTACAACTCCTGAGACTAGAACCTGCAACTTTCAGGTTACAAGTCCGACTCGCTATCCATTAGGCCACGACTATCACCCCCCCCCCCCCCCCACGAATGCAACAGTGTTATTTGCATTTTTTTTTTTGTAAGTGTAGACTGTATTTTATTATCTAATTTTTGTTCATGAATAAACACCCTTTAAAGTCATTAGCATTAGAATCAAGACTGTTCATACTCTTAAACAGCATTTATAAAACTTAAAAGCAAGCTACATATTACAGATTATCCAGGAATTAAAGGCACTTTGCTTTGCCCACAAAATCAATAATTTGGTCCAGGGTTAAATATTATACGCTTCCATGAAAAAGCTCTGTTATGTAACAAAACCCCAAGACGGAATGCCAAGAGCACACAGTAGAGCACCAAAAACACCCCGAGTCAATAATTTCCACATCCATGCCTCAGATTACTGACCTGACACGTTTACTGCAGTGACGTCATTAGTAAAATCTGATTAGTCCAGCGTAGAGGGAAAACTCTTAAGATCACTCAGGGGGAAAAAAATACCTGGGAGAAGTCAGTCATGTGTATGACTACAATTAGTTAAACAACTATATTTCAAATACTTGGTTTAACTGTTATGCATTGCAGTGACATTCATGCATTGTAAAGTATGGCTTTAGTGTCAAAATATTTGTTGAAGCCACTGTAGACAAACACCTATACAGGGGAAAAAAAATAAACTGCAATAAACCCAGTGAAATTTAGTATGCATGAATTCTGTAGGCATTGAACATGCAGTATATATAAGAATAGAAATAATGCTCTGAGATCATAACATTTTCCTTTAACTGATCTGAGATCTGCTGGTTGTAATTCCCAATCCCAAAACACATGATAGTAACAGTTGCTGCGGGCAAATGCCAATTAGAGCCACAAGGCTCCAGAGGGTCATTAATTGCTATAATGGTTGATAATAACATGTCGAGGGCTTTATGTGTGTGGGCTAAACGATAGAATGAAGTGAATGGCTAGTGCAGGCTGGGCATAGCATGACTGTGGCTTGGGCACATGTGCACCTCACATTGATGCCCTGCCCCCCTCTGACCTGCGGTTTAAGGTCACACACATACTGTATGCTCACACTCACACACACACAGCAGGCATACATCCCTCCTCAGTACTGAAATAGACATCTAATAAAATCAAGAGACACAACGGAGAGTGAAACAGAAGGTGTGTCTGTGTGAAAGAGAGAGATAATGTTAATGTTAAGAATAATGGAAGATCATTTTTACTTAATGGGAACATTTAATAAGTCAGTAATTCATTATTTATTTTCAGTGTGATCATCAAAACCTCATTTGTATTCCTGCAGTCAAATTTTACCTTTGAGATGGCAAAAAAAAAAAGATAATAAAAAAGGTAA